GGTAATCAAAATATGACTGCTCTAGAATTGTCTGTTCTATGCTTGTGTATAACATTGTCTTTCATAACTCAACGTTTACTTTTTATTCTATTCACAATGGGAAACAGCCTTTCTGAGTTGAGAGAATACACTGTGAGCTTAGCAGACAGCGAGAAAGAGGAAGAGAAACAGGAACACGGCTCACCTCAAGCATCCGGTGTGTCAGGGCAGTCCGTCATCTCTCTGCTTTCCCCTGAGGAGTTAGCAAAGCTTATAGAGGAAGTAAAATCACTAGATGAAGCAACCTTAAAGGTAAATCAACGTTTTTTTCTGTGTGATTTTCAGAGAGCTGTGGAGTGGATGTGCCTACTTAATCTTTGTGACCTTACATTTTTCAGAAATGAAATTAATATGTATCAGTAGCAATACTTAGTTCTTTTGGTCTGAAATCTTAAAGAAGTCTACCAAGATAACTAAGCAAGACTAACACCCATTCAAGTAACTGATAACAGCTACATAGCAGGTGAGGGCAGTGTATGCAGAAGTAGACACTGATATTTGGGACACCTTTCATTTTTTTGTGGGTTCCCAGTCTGAGATTCCTAATGCATACTCTTGGGGATTGAACATCCTTTAGTCCTACTGGATTCATCTAGAATTTTGATAACGTTCAATGTGAGCCAAAAACAAGGCTAAATGTGTATATTCCAAAACTATAAAGACTTTAATATCATCCAATTTATAGTCCAGCCCTAATAGATAACCTATTTACAGAACATAACAGTTTTAGACACAAAAACATTTTATAAAATAGGTAATTGATTTGTGAATTTGATCAGAACTATAAACATGTCTCAGCATCAAATCCATGTCCTTAGGCTTCATTACAAAATTCCCATGGACAAAAAGAAAATGTATGGATTCCAGTTATATATTATATCTGATTTATATATTAAGATGTTCTTAACACAATTCCCTTCTCTGCCTAGGAATTTGATGATATTCATGTTACAATTCTGCATAAAGAGGAAGACACTGGGCTTGGATTCAGCCTGGCAGGTGGCGTTGATCTAGAAAACAAAGTGATAACAGTAAGTAGCATCTTTCATAAAATACTCTGAAAACAACTACTCTATCTAAAAAGAAATGTATAACTTGCTGGTTTTCTGCTACAGAGGTTTTCTTTTGGCATAATCAAAACAGGCAGCTGTGCTGACAGATCAGAAAAATCAGTCTTAAGTGTGCAAGAATGAGATTCTTCTGCACAGTGCTGCCCTCTCCAGGTGACTGGTCGTGGCGTCCTGTTTCCTCGGGTACCATCCTAAACAGCTCTAAAATCGAACAACCTACAGCCCTCATGCTTATAGAAGACCCCAACGCTTACAGAAGACCATACAGGGTGGTCAGTGCTACCAGGAGTGAGGTGTGTGTATAGACAGGCAAGGGGTCTGAAAGCTAGAGACTAGCTTCATACCTTCTGACTGGCAGAGTAGCAAGAGGGTCAAGAAGTACAGGGACGGTACGTACTGTGGGCAGCAGGGTATTTGGCAATCTGATATCAGGGCTAGACAGATTGCCTTGCTGCCTGATGAGTCCTGTGTCCCGGAGAGCTTCTCTGTACAAATACTTTCAGCCTTCAGCCCTGAAATCTGCTAGAAACCTTCCTGTCGTAGAATGAAAAATGCACATAGTAAAAACTACTAACCATAGTGATTTATCTTGTTTTTCCCCCTCTCCTTTCTTGTGTGTCTGCATGGTGACTGGGATTTTCAATAGGTTCATAAAGTGTTTCCCAACGGACTAGCATCTCAGGAAGGAACCATTCAGAAAGGAGATGAAGTACTGTCCATTAATGGAAAATCCCTTAAAGGTGCAACACACAATGATGCCTCAGCAATCATGCGACAGGCTCGCCAACCCAGACAAGCTGTTGTTGTCACTAGAAAACCTAAAGATGGAGAAAAAAACAGCATTTCAATTGATTCTAGTACATCTTCAGTAGCAAGTGATGCCTCACAAGACTCTGGTAAGTTCAGTGCGATTACCTTGCTGCCCCCACCTACTACATGTTTAATCATCACCTGAAATCCTTGCTGTTCATAAAACATCTCAGTAAGGCTTGGTAAATTTGAAAACCATGATTATGGACAGAACAGTTAATAAATAATCCTGAAATAGATATTTGGAGTAACTTTGTTAGAGAGAAAAGGAATTGATGGAATTCTAAAATAAATGAACATTCTGGAGATCTGGAGCTTTAGTTATGTCCTGCAAATAAAAATTAGCAGCTTCATGGTTAATAAAAATTTCAAAATTAACCTCAAGTATGTTAATACTTGATGTTAACAACACAATATGTTGAACATATTGTAATACAATGTGTTGAACATATTTTTATAATTCTAGTAAATATCACCAACTTTCATTTTTATATTTCTATTCTGCCATGAGTTCAAATACAACTTACTCCAGCTTCCCAGAGGGCCTTACAATCACAAAAAGAGGAATTAAAAGCTATCACTTCCTTTTTCATTTGGCAGTTTATAGAGCCTTTGCAAACAAAAGGGTTCATTTTTTGTAACAGATCCAGATTTCATAACGTTTCCAGATATGTGGTGCCCATCTGATAACTTTCCATTTATTTTCAGCAACTGAAGATACAATCTGCACTGTAACTCTAGAAAAAACACCTGCTGGTTTGGGATTCAGTCTGGAAGGAGGAAAGGGCTCTATTCATGGAGATAAACCCATTGTCATCAACAGAATATTTAAAGGTAACGCACTTGAATGTGTATACGCAGGTTCTCAGCTGATGCAAATGTGCAGTTTATAACTGGCTGCTAATTTATGCCCATGAAAATTTATGTATTTATTTAAATGCAGCATTATCCCATGCAGTGCAAGTAGTTTTTGCCTGCTGAGACCAGGTGGTTTATACCAAACATGATGGTGATTCTTAATGAGTGAAAGAATCATTAAAAATTCCTCCATAGAAATAATTATTATTTTTCTTTTTACCCCCCTCTAGGGACTGCGTTAGAACAAAGCAGCACCGTTCAGCCTGGTGATGAGCTATTACAAGTGCACACAACTGCCATGCAAGGACTCACTCGTTTTGAAGCATGGAATATAATCAAGGCATTACCTGACGGGCCCATCACAGCTATCATCAAAAGAAGAAATCCAAGCTCTGTTACCACCAAGGCATCTGAAACTTTGTAAGAGGAGTAATTAGACTACTGCCAATATTACAAAAAAAAAAAAAGGGGGGGGGGGGCATAGGAAGCTCTCATTTGGCTAGCGGAGACAGACATTCAGAAAGCATACATGAAAAGTACATACCATTTTACTGGCAGTTACAGAGAAAGCAGTTTGGGATAAAATGCAAAGATGTGCACATAACATGCAGTATTATTTCAACATTCAGAAATGGTTGTTACAAATTGTAGAATGATAAAAATGACTTTATTAATAATATACTGGTTGTAATAAAATATGACAGCTATAGTAAGCACTCTCCTATTTTAAGCCATTAACTGAACTATCAGAAGCACATTCTGTGGTTAATTACTCAGTTCTGTTCTGCTGCTTTTGCTCCCTGCCTTACCTCCACAGGAGGAAAAGCCAACAACAAAACACTGCAACACAGGATGCATAAAAGGCAGAGAAAGTGGGATGCATCTTAGGGTATCAAAACTAAAATGTGCCCTGAGAAACTCCAGCTTCTCTATTCAAACTGCAGAGCAGCCAAAAGCTAAATAGGGTAACTCTACTAGCAGTTGAAAGAGACATGTTGACTCCAGAAAGCAAGCACAGGGGAGTGTCTCACCATATTGCAAGGGTGAGGCAGGAAACTGAGGATAATACAGTGGAGTTTCTCCCAACCTTCCTCCAGCCAAAAGTCTCGTAGTACTAGAGTAGGAGAGCAACAAGGGCATTTAGAACCAAGACTTACCTTCTGACCGCAGATGTATTTTGAAATATCTTTTTGCTAATTTTGTAAGGAAAAATGCCAGTGAGTGTTTCTGAATGCAAATATTTATTCTAAAGCACTAAATAATTTGGACACAAAACTATACTTCAAATACTGCTATCAGTATTCTGGGCCTTCTCTCCAAACACTGTACAGAATGCTACAAGCAGCACATGCATCTATGGGAAGGGGCTCTTGTGCACTCTTTGGTCCTCTCTGACCCATTTCTCTAAAGGGAGACAAACAATGCCAGGATAGAAGTATTCATTCACTAGTTGAAAGCCATATGGTTACGTTGGTTATTGTCTTTGGCTGTTCACCTTCCCCATACTCTGGGAATTTGCTGCATCCTTCTTAGGTTACACAGGGGATTCCTCCAAGATCTTACAGGATGATCTTCACTGGGACATTTGCATCTCCAGTTTGGCATAGCAGAAGACTGAATGTTAAGTGCTCTTAATTCCTTCTGAATAGAAAACATTGAGCACTCAGAGAAAGGATCCTCAAGTTATTTCAATGAAGAGATTCACCTATCCTTTATTGTTCAGAGTAATATAAAAATATAACAAATATACAATAAATAGCTAATAAAAGGCCCCCACTGTCTGCAAAAGGTTTACTTGCAGGAATAATCAGTGGTGATTTGAACTCTGCTCATTGAGCTTTTTACTAATTAATCATAATCCTGCAAAGATCTGCCCAGATATCCAATTCCATGCCCAACTGAAAACTGTAGTATGTTTACTTAAATATGTATGAACCTCTGTAGTATCAGGCCCCCAATCTCTCCTCAGTGAATGTATTACCCTTCTTTAAGCACAGAAAGCAGCCATCTAAAATGTAAATACAGACCAACCACAGACAAAGAAATTGAGAGGGTGAGTGCTCTCACCACAACACCTGGTGGGGAGTACAAACTGGAGTGAAAGCTCTTCTCTGCCTCATTGCATTGAATTCAGAGATGCTGGAGGTCTGAGTGTCTCTTTAAGTTTCTCTGTGCATGGGAATGTGGAGCAATTTTAGAGAATCATTCAGAAAAACAGCAAGATGTAGCAAAAAAATATTTATTTCATCACACTTGTACAGGTTTTTATATCTTTCTTTGCAAAAGAGACTAGATTAAAAATTGGTTCCTTTAAAAATCTATTCCACAGGGTTAGAATTACAGTGGAAAACTTTGTATGCAAATCTATGCCCCATACTAAACATAAATATAGAAAAGCAGAGCATAATAACCTTGTTAAATAACCAAGTTACAGCATTAAAATCACAACCTACATTTAAATTTCTAATACAGCAATTTATTTTCCTTTTGTAATTATATGTAACCCATAATAATGTCTGAAACTCCTGCAGTAACCAGAAGCATAAATATTTTCAAAAGCTGCACACATCACTACACACTAGATCAGGAGCTGACTTCCTAAGATAGTGCTGTGAGGTAAACCAGCCTTCAACAGAAAGAAACGTTTTTATGGCCTGTCAAGTCACTACTGAGCTGCAGAAAAATTATTTACCCGTTAAGACCTCTCACCACAAAAACTGGTAAAGTGTTTAAAATACTTGATCATTACAAGTGCAGTTAAAAAAAATAGCAAGTAAAGTGCTTAATGCTCATTATTTATTGCCACTATGTCAGTGCAGTTTGGTTCTTGACACTGTGGAAATCACTGGTTTTGGTAGAGAGAAGGAAAGAAGAGTGTCTATGTGCCAACCAACAGACCTATGAATTGATTTGCACTGCTAGATTCTGATTTAGGAAAAGAAGTACCTAAGATACATTTACCATGAGGACTATCTGTTATCTACGGGAACAAAAAAGTAGATCCCACAAAAAAATCCAATCAATTCTGACTTTTAAATCTTACTGTCCTGGTCTCAATGAAACATCTTAGCAGCTCTATGAGGGCTGACAGCAGAAGAGCTACCTCTCCATCTGGGGAAGGAACATTATTCCACAGGAGTCTACAAGGAGCTTCAGAGACAAAACAGGGTGACTTGCACCTAACTAATACTGGTAATGCTAAGTGGATTTTAGTGATGCTCCTCCTCTTAGGCAGTGAGAGAGTTCTAGTACACACATCTTCTCCCTGCAGCCAGCCAGCAGTGCTGCCTCCAGGATTCTTCCAGCCTCTGGTATGACCTTCTTCTAATTATGAAAATGAAGGAGAGCTCATTAGAAAAGTATGCATTGCTTTGAATTGAGACAGGCAGAAAGCGCTGTTTTAAAAATGTACTTTACTCAATCCATTCTTCCCATTTCACTTTTCCCAAGTATCTTTGCTGGTTAAAAAAATGACTATAGGTCAGGTTCATATTTCCCATGATTTCTAGCCTCAAGCTACCAGTTCTTTTCCTACCCTCAGATGCTGATGTCAGCATTTGGTCTTGTCATGCTTTTAATGCCTTAACGGCTTTGGTCAGATTGCTATAAAATCCAGCTATGCTAGCTGGAAAGAAGGAATCCACCACCGTCTGGGGAAGATAGCCACCAAGATCTGTCTGAAAGAAACTGAGGAGCTGAGTCTTATCCGGTTCCCTGCAACGACAATGGAAGTGATTTTATAGCCAGAGGTCTGGAAACATTTAGGACTTCACAATTACTCTTACATGCATTATCTGACGATGGATATTTCTAAGTTCTTTTTTTTTTTTTTTAGGAAACAAGAAAACAGCAGACATCATTTCTATGAATGTGGCTATCCCCACAAATCAAATTACAGTTAAGCTAGGCCCTCATTAGGTACATGATTCTGTTTATGAACTGTGACAATGTAATAAACAACTGGATACTCATTTCCCCCAAATTAAGACCATACTTGTATGTTCTGCTGAATCTCTGTTTAAGAGGTCAGCAAGAATCCTACCACAATGGTAGTTCCAATAACATTGAAGACCTATGTCCAGGAGAGACTAATTCATCACACAGAATAGAACAAAGCAGGTACTCAGTCATAAAGACTACAAGTCACAGGAAGATAGGAATGTGTTATTGTTGAGGTGCTACAGATCAAGTGTAGCCACATACACAGAACTACACTGCACAATGGATAAGAAGGGCTTCAGAATACCTAGTGGTCAAGTAGATCTCTACTTACCCTGGAAGTGGTATACAGAAACAGCCACAGGGATAATTCAGCCCTCTCACAAAATTTGGTTGAGGAGGACACTGTGGGTGTTCCACATTGGTGGCTACAAGAAAAAAGCAATTATGAAGAAATGTAATTTTCACAGGAGATGGGAAAGGGTCCTTTGTACTCAAAGCACCAGCTGAGAAGCAAACTCGCTGTAAGAGAATATATTTAAGAATGGCTGCATAACATTCTTTATGTTGGGCTGTGCCATGCATGCAGTCAGGAAAAAAAAATATTAAAAAGGAACCACTCTGGCCAGAGAACTGAAAAAATCGAAGAAGTTTTAAATTCAGAAGCAACTGTTACTGAGCTCTAAGTATTAGGACGTTCTAAGGGAGTTTTATTGAACCTGTACTGTGTGAGTGCATTGCTTTTCTTGAGAGATCATTCAAGTTGCTTCCAAGTAATCCATGCCATGTAGGTACAGGTACCTTGACTGCTGAGAAGTTGCACTCCAGCATGTATATAAATTGCTGGCAAATCATTCCTAAACAGGATGGGAAAATGGGGCAGTTGAACACAGGGGCAATAAAAGTACTGCCTTGCAACAAGCAAACAATAGGACGAAAAGGAAAACAAACAAAGAAGCATCCTTCCACGAAGCAGTTCCCTAAAAAATCAGCACTATTTGGTTTCATGGGAGCCAAAGACCAGCAGTATATTCTGAATGTTAACATGGCTTTATATATATATACTCTGCCAAAGAAAGAACAATGAATAGAGACCACTAATATTTTACCTTTTGATCACAATCAGATCAATAGCTAAAAAGCAGCATATAACTTACTTTGTATTTTATATTTATTTCTGGTAGCTGCCAATTAACTCCCAACACAACATGAGCACAAGCATCTTACCAGCAGATAGCATTGTTCCATCCTCATATTGCTTCATTAGGACCACATCCACAAATTCTCTTGGTGAAATAATCCTCACGAAAGCCGAAGGGGTTGTGGTTCTGCATACAGAGACAGCCTAGAAATTACAAAGCCCTTATGTCAGTTGATGCTCTCACAAGAACAGAATAAAAATCCCTGTGCTTTCTGGTACTCTTTTAGTTACTCTTGAAAAACTTATCATGAGTTCTATGACACCATTTGCAAAAAATGCAAATCAGCACAGGCAAAAGGTACCAAGGTATGTTGACGAAGGACAGCTTAATGAAGAAAAACACAACGCTGCATTGTTCCCAGGTCACTTAAGGTCAGATACCACAGGGGGTAGAGAAAAGCAGATCTGGCACATGTATGCTCACGGGACTGTTAAAACGCTTCTCTTTTCCAGGAATTCCATGAAGGTATCTTCTTTGTAGCATATCATATAGTAAGGCAACTTGATACCCAGACTTGTTACCCTGAAGAAACCTTAACACTTTCATCCTCTTCTATGGAGGCTGTATAGTGGATGGACACCCCAAAACAGAGGTTTCTACTACATTAGTAAATACTAGCAAGTATAGCAATGTCTGTGAACCTCAAATGGCAAGCTGTACCGCTTCGAAAGTTGAGGATTATAACACTGATCGCCTGTAAAGTTCCAACAAGAAAAACTTTCACAGGACTTCCACAAACACCCCTGGGAGTGGTTGTGGTTGCACCCTGGGTATCTCCAAGCACGAATATCTGCTTTTGATTTGGGGATCTAAATCCAACATTTTTAAAATTCTGACACACAAAGAAAAAAAAAGGAAATCAGATCGTACAGTCGTATGGTCACAGGAACAGCAGCAGCCACTGCTCACACATGGCCCTTTTCATCTGTAGCGCTCTAAGTACAGTATCTGTGTTTTAAGGGGAGACACTGAGGGCAAAGTGCTGAGCCAGCCAAGAACAGTGGCACAGAGCACTGGGTGCTGCCATGGTGCAAGACAGGGCCTGAATTAATGGTTGATGACGTGAACCTTCACTACATACTTAAGCCTATATGCTCTCTAGACCTCCTCTTTCCTCACAGATAGCTCATTCAAAATAATCACACTTACCTTGATTTGCAGCATTAACAACGTTTTGCTGGAATATTTATAGTTTAAAAAGATGTAAGTTTACAACATTATTTAGCCAAGAACGTACAGTAGTTCCTTTCACAAAGATAATCCACTGATAATACATACGTGTACAATTGAGTACAATTTTGAGTAAAAAGAATAGATTCCTAATCCCAGTACTGTCACACTGATCCACAGAGGCTGCACAGCTTCTAGAGGCCCTTTTTACCTGCACGTGACGTAGGCTGTTTTGGAAGGCAGAGCCCAATTCCTCTGAAACCCCCGCTCACTAACCCCACCGCCACAGCCCTTAAGGAACTCACATCACTGACGGCCTCCACAACCTCGAAGTCCTTCACGTTCTGGTCCCACTTGGTCCTCAGCCCGCCGGCCACCGGCTTTATGCACTCCCACACATCCTCCGGGCAGGCGGCCACGGTCCCCTCCGCCCTGTACCTGCGGCAGGGCGAAACGAAAGCAAACCCCGCAGCTCCACCCCGCATCCCCCCCAGCACGGCCCCGGTCGGTCCGAGAAACGCCCCGGCTGTACTCACACGTTGCCGCTGAACTCAGCCGAGGGTCTCCAGGACACCACAACCTCGCTCTGCGGGGATGGGTGAGAGCTGTGAGCCGGCACCAAACCGACCCCCCACCCCCGCGTCCCCTTGCCCGCCCCGATCCCACCCCTGCACGTCCCTCCCAGGGCTCACCGTGCTTCCGGCAGCCCCGCCAGCCGCTGGGGTCCTGCCGGTACTGCCCGATTTTGGCCGCCGCCGCCTCAGCGAGCCCCGCGTAGTCCATGGCCGGGCAGGGCGGAGCCGCTCGGCCGCCGCCTGTGAGGAGCCCGCGCCCTGTGGGCCGATGGCGGCGCCTCCCCCTCACCTGAGGGGCAGCGGCCTCACGCCGCCCGCCCCGGGTCGGCTCCCGAGACAGGCAGCGGCGAGGGGACAGGCGCTTGGGTCGCCTCCGGCCTTCCAAGAAGCGCCTGGTAGCCAGGATTTTGCTGCTTTCATCCGAGATGGATGGCGTACCGACAGCCCGGAGGAGCGGGGGGCAGGCCGGCTGCAGGCTTTCATCCCGGAAAGCGCCATCTTCAGCATCTAAAGGAGGCGCGGAATTGCAAGGCTGTGTGAAAAAAGTCAGGAGTAATGACATACGTTTTTAAAAGGCCACGGAGAGACAGTTTTCCCCAAAGGCTTGCAGTGAAGTTTGTCAGCGTGAGCTGAGGAGTCTCCCCAGAAAATGAATAGAAGACCTAGGACTTCATCTGTGAGGCTGCGTGGACTTCCAAGATCCAATAATTCAGTTGTCCATGTAGTACAGACTAAAGAAACTTACTAGGCTTGGTAATTGACCTGTCGCTGATTTCTTTGAGCTTCCCCATATTCGGGGTAGACACAGCAAGATGTCAGGCTGCAGATCGTGGCCGTGCTTGGAAGGTGATTACCTGCTCGATTTATTCACCCGGAGCATCTTAAGCTGTGACTGTGTCAAGGAGACAAAGAGAGCCTCATCTGACATGTTTTGGTACAGGTTTAATTAAAATGCCCCGAGTACATAGCTTCTGATTTTCCAGTATTTTTAAACAGCATAACAAGTAATAAATTGGAATAATTTTCCAAGTTTTGCAATGCATCGGTTGTGATACGGAAGCGAGGTACAGTTAACAGTAAAACACAAGGCTATCTGTACTTTCCCACCTCAAATAGCTGCACACACTGTTCCAAAGACTCTTGTAGTTATTCTAATAGACCTCAAACAGCAAATACAACAAACGCACATACACCTGTCCAAAACACAAAAAAGGCTGGGGCACTTTCTCAGACATTTGAGCATACCAGTTCATTAGGCTCAGACATGTTTAGATCAATACTGTTCTTTGATTTCTTTTTGGTGAGTTTTGACCCAGGTTTCAGGTACTTTTCTTTGCTGTGAATGACCTGGATATATTGGTCATTGCTGCTGTTCTGCGGATCACTGCTGGATTCAATGGAAACTGAATCAGATTCTGTGAGAGATTGCTCCAGCTTATGCTTTGACTTCGGTTTCATATGTGGCTCAGGATAGTGCTGGTCAGCTTCAACATTTTTCAGGTGCACTTTCTTGTAAGCGTATGGAGGTCTGTCTAGGTCCATCTCAAAACCATCATCCCAGGATTTGTAATGCACTTTGGCTAGATCCTTGCTCATAAGAACATGGCCATCAGCGTGCTCCCCAATGTAAAATCTTGGTGCTGGGCGAAGATCAGATAGTGAACGAGGGCGATGCGATCTGTTGATGTAGTGTCTCCTAAGTTCCTCTTCTTCCTCCTCCTCTTCACTGGGATGAGGGGAATATGCCCGGTGCGGTGTTCGAACCACATATCTTCTAATGTTGCGTGGATACAACTCAATAACATCTCCTGGTTCTTCCATTCGGAATTGCCTCTGGAGTCGGGTGGTAGAACGGGATGATTTTTTGCGGGACTCATTTTCATTAACAATAATGTATCTGGTAGCATGTGGTCTGCGTCCCACAAAAACAGGAGCCCCCGCCCCAAGAGCATCTGAATTTGCCTGCCGAATGCTTTTTCTAAAGAGAGGCTCAGAATGAACATCTTCCATATGCTTTTTGAAAGTCACTGGTGTGTAGGGCTTTGTTTTACAGAGCTCACTTGCACTCCCATGCACAACACTTGGGTACCTTTAGAAATAAAAAAAGAATCAAATGTTGAGAGATATTCTTATGTCCCAATATAATTGAAACACATAAGAAATTAACTGCACAGATGTCAAACACTGGCTTGTAAGGACAGATCTCTGTTGCAGAATCTGTATTGTTCAAAAGTTTTAGGAGCTGTTAGAGAAACACAGAAATTAGGAGATGCATTTGTACTTCCCTGATGAAATGGCATCAGACCGTTGACCTTTCAAAGCATGTTCCAGATCTGTTTTCTTAATATTTTGAGAACTATTTAGAAACACTTTTAATCTCATTACTTGGAAGAAAAAAAAAAATCCCCCCCAAAAAAACAACAAAAAAACACAACACAAAAAAGCCCACACAGGTAGCTTAAAGCACTACTGTGCTGTCTGAACCAACATGTCCAAAAACAGTCATGCAACAACTAGACTTGCACAGGCATTCTGCACAGGATTACTTCACTGTTCCTGTGTCTGTCTTGTTCTTTTAGTGTCCCACATAAACTATTTTACTTATATGCCAGACAGAAAGCTTAATATTTACCTCTGCTTGAGGTGTGTGTAAACTCCATCAATTACATTATTTCAAAAATTTTATAATCCTGTCTGGCAGGCTGAATTAAGAGAGAATTAAGGAGGTGATGTTACCAGGAGTCTGAATAGTACTCATGAATGAATCTGCTTTTACAAAATTCCTTAGCTGCTGTACTGCTTCAGACAGTTAGTCTGAATGCACAGCTATTTTGCAAATAAACACAGGAATGTCATGGAGTTGATGGAATAAATACCATTTCAAAACAAAAAGTCTTACCTGTTAGTGGTATGATTGTTTCTTGATTTCTGTACACTTGATACCGAGGGAGCTGACGTTAAAGATGTTGAAGTTGTGGGATTTGCATTGACAGGTCTTGCAACATCAGTTGAGGGCACAGTTTGGGGCACAGACTGGGAAATGGTTTGTATTCTGGTGCCTTTGCTCACAGGAGATTCAAAGTTCAGGACACTGCCATTCTTCCGGGGCGTTGAGGACCGAACAGAAGATTCCTGGCTGATAAGATCACTTTCTTGGTCTGGTCTCTTGTCATTCCCACCCAGATTCTGGATTCTGGCTAGAAAACAGAAATTATTACACTATCTCTCCAGGCCTCTACATTTAGAAACAGTTGTGTAAATGCATTGGCTCAAATTCACCCACCAGTCGGGATCACATGATGACAGAACCTCACTGTGTTCAGCAAAGAGATACTGGTGCTATACTTGTAGACGGGGTGATAAAAAGGGGTGGATAGGCACACTGCAGTACGCAGCATACATACTATTGCTGAACACAGAAAAACACTGGAAATTGCACTGTAGAAATCCAAGTGGGCACAAAGCCATCGTCTCTTTTCAAGAGCCCTGTTTTAGTTCACAACGTGTAAGAAGATGGCCAGATTGAGCAAACTGGCCCCAGTGACTGTGCTGGTCAGAGTCAAAAGCTGCATTTGGTTTCCGTAACAACGGAAATCAAACTAGCACACACACCTCATCACACCTCATTGCCCTTTATAGTCACTCCTCATCAGTATATTGCTCTACCTCAGGTTTTTCACCACTTACATCTTCACGGTAGCGATATAAGCGGTCAGTAACATTAAGATCTAGCCATAAGGCTACTGAACCATGGATTGTCTTTTATTATTTATTTATTTATTTATTTAAAGCTTGGCACATATCTACTTATTACTTTCACTGGGAGGGATTAATTAGAAGGACTGCATCCTTTCTGTGGCTTCTTGTTGCTAAAATCTGAGAGGTGGAAGGTGTGTAGGCTCAAATTCCCTCAAGGCACAGTGGGCAATAAAAACCTAAATCTCTTCATTGCAGATGAAATGTTTAATCCAGGGAGGTCAAAGAACAGGGGCCATTCCATTTTCCCTCTTCTGTCTATTACCCGATAAATTCTGAGCAAGGTCTGACATGATATGAATCAGGGTTGCCTACCAGGTTCTGCCCTGTATGTGACAAAAGCAAGAAAATACTCAGCCCAAGTAAAGCTGGGCTCAAAAGCCATCTACAAGGATGACTACTGGAAATAGTTTTTTAAACGTGGTTGAATGTCTCTCCCTATAATAAGAAATCAAAATATATTTGTATCCAAATGCTTTATTAATATTGGAACTTCTAAAGCTCAACAACTTACCTACTGCCATCTGAACCACCTTTTTCTTATCTTCAGTTCTTTCCTAAAATGCATTCAGGAGAATGAGAAGCAGCGAGTTACTATGGACTAGAAACTAAATTTATTTTAGCGTAAAGATAAGAAATACAGGATGGGTTTTACATTGTGAAACAAGGAAAGTGATTTTTGTGGTGTAATTAGGCTAGCACTTTCCTGAAGACCCACCAAATTCTATATAAAAGTACTTTGAGCTGTACTTACTGTTTGGATCTTCATTCTTAGCTGATTGTTGGTGAATTTCAAGGATCTTGCAATACTTTGCAGGTAATAGATAAGCATGCTAGAAGTGAAAGAGGTGATTATAAATCACATCAACTATTCCTGACAATATTCTCTTTGAAGATTTATAAGTCATCAAAATGGTGTACAAGGTCAGTTGGTGCTTTTTAGCATTTCCTTTATATTGTGATAATGGATCACAGCCTTCTTTCAAGCAAATACACATGGAAGTGTAAGAAATGTGATACTGAAAACAGATTTAACAGCAGTACTAATTGTGCCCATGCCTTTTTTTTTTTCTTTTTTCTTTTTCTCCAGCCCAAGGTTACTTGGAGAGGAACTACAGATGAGTTGCATGTGCTTTACAATGTCATTTTGTTGGCTGGTTGCAATAACACCTTGTTTACACTGATACAGCTGAGATCAGATCTGGCTTGGCAATGTATTAGTGGCTTTCAGATGATGTAAAGTCTTATAACTAGACTTGTTAGCACAAACATTTACATATGTGCTTAGACATCGGTTTAAAACAATCTATAGATCTACTTGAGTTTGTAAATAAGTTTATTTATGAAGCTGTGACCTTAAAGGCAAAAGTTACAAACGATAAATAATGCTTTATGTCTTCTCAATTCATCTGAAAATCAAGCTGGGGATCTGCTATAAAATTGTATCTTGGTACTACAGTGGGACAAACTCTGCACTTGTCTGTAGCTTATGGGAAAAAATTAGAAAGATGCAAGCAAAATACATGACACTTCACAGAAACAAAGTGATTTTCAAACAGCTCAAAGCAAATATTAATTCCCAGCTGTGAACAATTATTTAGAGACTGGAGTAAGAAAGGACTTCCACTGGAAGGTCTACAGGAAGCTGTATTACATTAACACTTAAGAGCAGACCTTCATAATTGATTTATCTTGTCGGGAATCAGCAGGACTGGGTAGCTTCTTTCAATGATGGCCTGAACCCTGTTCACAGTCATAAGATCAACTAATCACCATGAGGAAATGGAAAATTAACTTCTGCGTAGCTCTTGATAGGGAAGAAATATCTTAAAACCTCCTAGAATCAACAGCACTGTAAGCCTTGACACACTGTAGTGAACTTGCTTTAACACTATTTCCCTGAACAAGAAATGTCCTTTTGAAAATGTGTTGACAGTTTTTTTAATATCCTCTCACTCCCATCTGATCTATAGATTGTATATTCAGTAAGAGTATTTTTTTCCTTCAGATATG